CATTGCCTGAAGTGGTGAAGCTGGAGCCCAGGGTGATGAGAGAGGCATGCTATGGGGTTCCTGGACCATGACTCAGGAGGGCAGTGTGGGGAGGATCTTCAGCTGGAGGTACAACTTGTCAGACTCATCCAAGCTTGTGAAAGAATAGGGTCTGACCCTCTAGTTGGAGGTGTTAGTCTGAACTACTGTCACAGCCAAAAAAGCCATTCCTAATGCCCACTGGGTCAGTATGTTGGGTGGGGGTGCTATAAATTTTGAGTCCTGTTTTTTCATGTTCCCTCCCCATCCATATCAAGCTCTTGTTTATCTTCCCTCTGTTCTTGACAGAATTCTACCCAGGACTTCAGATACCCACTCTTTTTCTTTCAGGCGTGGTTCCCAGGGTGTTCCGGAGAACGCCAGCTTCTTACAGTTCTGATTGGCTTCCAACAACTACAAGCCCCCTCACCTCCCATGCCCCTTGTAGACATTCAACAGATTTTCTAATAGAACTGAGGAAATTACTTTGGGGCCATCAAGAAGGCTTCATAGTGCAGTGCAGACTGGGCAGGAAGTCCTTCAAGGGAGCCCCTGTTGACAGTAATTTCCTGGAGGGAAGAGAGAGGCTCAGAGAATAAACAAAGGTTCCTAGGAGGCCTATTTGAATGGCCAAAAAGAATAAAACTGACAATATAAATTTGATTTTAAAAGTGTGTTCAGCTAATTATAGAGAAAGTACAGGAATCACCAGAAAATTTCTGAAAAGTCAAAGTCATTAAGGCAGACCTTTCCTTACCAGACTTTGACTTTTTAATTGGTTGGTGCTTAGTGGGTAGAGAGCAACCTGGAATATTTTAATTGAGCATATAGCATGTCATTAGAGAAAGAGCAAATAAAAGGTTTCACTGTAAATAGGGTTTGTTGCTGCAAATCTAATTTTCGGTCTGGTCCCCCATGTCAGAGTTGTTGCAGCCTCAGTATGTGGAGGTTGGTCAGGATTGTTTCCACCAGTCCTGGTGTGTTTTCCTTTTTCCACTCCTTGAAAAGGACCTTAAAAATAGAAAGGTTTTCATAAGATTTAGAAAACATGGATAAACAAAAAGAAGAAAATTTAAATGTAAAAAGTAGTAATTCTATCATTCAGGGGCAACCAGGCTTTAACAATGTGGCATATATCATTGTATGTACTTTTCAAATGGGCTCATATCACTCAGAATGCCTTCTAACTCACCATTTTTATTGTACAATGTATCATGATCACCAGTCAGGTCAGCAAGTGTTCTTTCTTAGCATAATGACTAATAACCCTCCAGAAGCCCATCCTCTTTCTTCAGTGTAATTTATTGAGCAAATTCTAACCGGATGCCTGGATGGTTTGCAGATTTTCACTTGCACAAATGCTGCAATGTTTATCTTTCTGCCTAAGTCTTTTTTGTAAGTTTATGCGTGAGTTTTGACGTCAGATACATATTTTTTTCTTTCCAAGACGTTGACCACCCTTTATGAGTCCTTGGTCCCTCAATTCTAGGGCTCCTTCCAGCTTACCATGTAAAATAAGTCTCAGAGCTCGGTTTCCCATTCCTCTGACCAGAGTTAGAGAGAACAGGGGCCCAACCCAAGGATCTGTCTACTATGCGCCGACGTGCACGCCCAGGGTCCCTGTGTCGAAGTCGCTGCTGTCAGAGCGCTGCTTGGCTGAGCTCCTCCTAGGCCCGCGAGCCCCGCGCCCTCCGCAGGGTGCTTGCCGGAATCGCAAGACCTTGGGGTCTGGGTTGGAACGGCCCCTCCTCCGCAGGGGCGGGTCCCAGAGAGCCCGGGGATGCCCGCCCCCCAGCTGCGCCCCAGCGGGGCTTGGACTCCACTAAGCTCCAAGGCAGTTGCTGTGGGTCAGCGAAGGGTCACAGCTTCCTGCTGCC